CGGACTGGTTCTTTTCTATCTATAGATAATTAAAATGGGCATTGTGAATCGGTCCAGTGCAATTGCTGCAAAAGATGGTAATTTGCTGATTTTGAGACCATTAATCTTAACACCCAAAACTTCATTCGTTAAACGGTCTATTATTAGCATCAAGTTTTGTCAAGTGAGAGTTAAACGAATTTCCATTACATCAATAGAATGTAAGGTGCCATATATTATATGAATTTACAGAATACGATATGAAGGCCCTTATCTGGATCAAACGTAACATTTGTAATTGCAGCGGATATCCTTATCTATGACAAAGATCACTTAAGTATACCCAAGCATGTCATTTTTATTCCGATATTCTGTTTCTTTCCGTTTCTCTTTATTTCGATAACAGTCATCGCCAATCCATATCTCTGATACACCCTTCGTGTAAAAACGGATAAATTATTGTTCGGTCTGAATTTTATTAATCTACAAAATTTGCGCAGGTTGCAAGAACGTGAACTAAATGGATACAATCTGGCTTAAGGACACTAATTGTAAGGACCTGGAAGACAGCTTTGCGCCAACCACAAACTGGCGCATTAGCTAACCGAATCGACCAAGTTATCAAAATATTCAAGGGAGTATAGTGCCTGTAAATAGACTTTAAAGGATGAGGAAATAAATGCACTCCTTACCGCTTCAAGTTGATATCCGAACAAGCTAGCAATAACGTATGCTATGGGTCTAGTTTAATGTTATAAAATCCTGCTCCTGGCTTAAATCTACCTCATTCATAATTTCATACTCATATGGAAGATCATCCTCATTGAGACGATAAGATAATGTGCACCGATTATGTGAAATAATAAAAGTCTTTCGAGAACGAAGTGATTCACTAAAGCGCTTTGAAATGTAGAGCAGGAAATTTGGGAATTTGGCTTTATTTTTTTTACTAAATCTCATTTCAATTAGTACCTGAAAATATCTCAAAACAAAATAAAGGGACAGTTTTTACCCGAAAAGTTATTATGGAGATAATCCTGTGAGTAGTTGGAAGTATATTATCCATTGTAAGTAGCAATGTATCAAATGTTTGGTGAAATGTATTCAGTCGATGATAAGATTCAACAGCAAACAGATAATTTATGTGAGCATAGTCGCTTTGCACTAACAAGCAATGGCTGGAATGTTGGGATAAATGTATCCTCTACAGAGAAGAGCACGAAACTCACTCGCTTGATGATAGGAGGCTCATCAGGCATGCTTGAGGTCCGGGACTGCAAATGCTCCTTTCCGTACCAAGATGTGGTCGGTTGCCGGTCAGCCACGCGGGAACCAGGCACTAGATCAATTGTGAAACAGCCTCCAGTCAGATTGACAGAGGTCCGATGAACCCGGAGGGTCGGAAGTGGTGGCAGACGAGTCATTTCGATGAGACCAGACGACAGATGATCCATTGAGACAACAGAAGCCCTGGCTAGCAAGTTGTGAAAACCGGCGCGTAGTT